ATGATAAAGATGGCAGGGCCCTGCTTCACGGGGTTTCTTCACCGCAACGTGCGGGCTATAAACCACCTTAATATAGATGATAGTATGAAGCCTGCTGGGTCCTCTGTCTCTTGTAATATATAATTGGTGCCTTGCACCTGGATAGTGAATCATATTGTCCCCATCCTGCAATAAATTGATGACAAATGGACAGTCAATCAATATATTCTTGCTGATGTATGTGTAGAGTGGCGAATAAACGCCTTTTCATCTAGCTGTGTGACAGTTCACTCACCACCCGAGCCATAGGTGATACTTTCTTGACGTTTCCTCCATCTAGATTACCAGGCACGGTCCCAGGAACAGCCACTAACATCGGGACTGTGCCTTTGACAGCTCAGTCACTGGACTTGGAGTGCGCAGTGAGCACGTTCTCAGCACAGAAACCTCTACCACCCATGGATGCATATGTGCCACGTGCGGGCGTTCAAGCTTGTCTTCTTTGGCATTCCAAGATGCTTTCTTGAAGTTTCCTCCATCTAGATTACCAGGCATGGTCCCAGGAACAGCCGCTAACATCGGAACTGTGACTGGCGGGCTCCGTTCTCCCCTTGGTACCTGTGCAGCCTTGCACAGCTCGTGGCACACAAATATGGCCGCTTCCCTGCTGGTCAGCGTGTATGACGCCAATGCGTGTGACCAGAAGTGACGTATCTGACGTATGACGGAGCCCGCCAGTCACAGTGCTGATGTTAGCGGCTGTTCCCGGGACCATGACTGGTAATCTAGATGGAGAAAACTTCAAGAAAGTATCACCTATGGCTCAGGTGGTGAGTGAACTGTCACACAGCTAGATGAAAAAGCATTTATTCGCCACTCTACACATACATCAGCAAGAATATATTGATTGACTGTCCATTTGTCATCAATTTATTGCAGGATGGGGACTATATGATTCACTATCCAAGTGCAAGGCACCAATTATATTACAAGAGACGGAGGACCCAGCAGGCTTCATACTATCATCTATATTAAGGTGGTTTATAGCCCGCATGTTGCGGTGAAGAAACCCCGTGAAGCAGGGCCCTGCCATCTTTATCATCTTTATCTTACTAAGGATACCAACAGTGATTCCTTCATGAATAACTCTGCATCTTTACATATAGGCATGTCCACTGTGAATTTGTACATGTTCACCACTCACTCGTGCCTTACATAGGGGCTGCATTTCTATCATTCTATCATCCTGTTATTATAGGAGCATCCAAACCCCCCTCTTTTATATTTTCAATTTTTTCACCCACATTGCCTTGATTGGGTTATGGGTAATTTCATTAATATATGGTGCCTGTTATCAGCCATTATTGCATAGCGCTGTACAGTATTATACCTGATGGTACAGTTTTTGACACACCCCCTGCTGGAGGTGTAACCAATGTGTTGGTGCTGCAAATGCACTAGACAGGTTTCTGTCATTGCTTATGCAGCACATTTATATTAAGACCAGTCTTGATGTTGCTTTTATGTGATTTTAGGTCTGTGTGTATTATCTCATACTGAGGTGATGGTGAACCAGGGTATTTACCCTATTGTCTATAATTATTGTGTACTAAAGCATAATTTTTGGGAATTATTCTGAGTATCGCATTCTGTCCATGATGTAACCACTTTTCTGTGAATCTCTTTTTTACAACCCCTCTTTTTTGTATGCAGGTTTTTTGGTTACTGGGCAGAAACCATATACTGGGTTATACAGCGTATTTATGAACCTCTACACTCTTTTTCACAACCCCTCTTTTTTGTAGGGTGTAGTGAAACCCTATAGTTCCTCCAGAGGTTGCATTTGGGTTCTTTAGGCAGTAACACAATTTCTGCCTCTCAAATAAGTAACCACCATCACCATCTTTTTAGTTAGCTATAAGGGGGAGGGGGGTTCCCACTGGCCACAAATGCAGAGAGCATTCTTCCCAGTAGCCATCTGATCTGTAGATATAGTCATTTTTAATAGAGGTTCCTCGAGACCAGAACATTATTTTAAGGTTTCCTCAATGTCAAAAATGTTGAGAAAGGCTTTGCTAGATTTTACGTGCCTGTCAGTTAAGTTAGCATGACTTGAGTACCCAATTTTTGTCAGTATGGAGAGGGAAGAGATGAGATAATGGGAAGTATAGAAAAGCAGAAAGAAAGGTAATTAATTATAACTCATGATTTACCAAGCAGAAAATCCTAAAAATCTGAACGTGCTCTGTCACTTACTAGAAAGTCATCATTCTAGTAGTGTTGTTGATTCTTGGTCACCACTGTGTGACGGAGAAATCACTCAAGTTGTCCCTCCTCTTCCAAATTACTCTCCTTAAATTGTCATTACTCAGTAGTTGTCTGGCTCTGTTTTCACAATGCATTTTAACTGAGCGCTATGTGTCTCATCTGTCGTAATAATACAGCTTTCTCCACTTTTCTATTGATGAGGATCCCCAAGTGACCAATGATTTATATGCCTGAGATGTTTTACTAACAGACAGTTGGGCTATCAGTATGATATGAGGTTGACTAGTAATACAGTTATATTACTGCATCTGTCTAACGCTGGCAATTACACACTGTAAAGCAGAATCCTCCACATTCATCCTGAAACGTCTATCAAAGCTGACCTTATCTTGTCTGCTTGAATATTATCAGTAGCATATGCGTCTACCCTTTTACATGATAATGCATCAAGCTGTTCTCTTCAGAAGCGCTACGCTTTCAAACGCACTCTATCTAACAAGTCTCTTTAATGGAAAAAGAGAGAGTGAGAAAAAAAAATTCTGCCTAAAATTATTCCGCGGTTACTTTGTCACACGCACTGATGTTTTGCAATGGAGGCAGCTGTCCAAAATCCTATATCTTAAATTAACCTGTAATCATAAAAATCGACTATAATCATAAAAGAATATATTTTGGTGTGCTGTTCCATCATTTGCATACCGGAATTGAAGAGCAATGCCATTTTAGCTTTATTGATTTCCATTGGGGATCCACTGTAGATCGAAATTGCCAGCACATTCTACAATAAAAAGAAGAAGCACGGTTCAGTCATTATAACACAGTTACGGGCGTGTTAGACAGAAGCCTGGTGTTTGCAACTGCAAAAGAGCTTAATAAACTTTTTTAAAGTCAATTGGCATATGTGGAGCAGAACTGTAAAGACAATACAAAGTGGTGATTGAAATGGAGGTTATTGGTCCAGTGTGCATTGTAGTATGAATTTAAAATGAGTATATGTATCTACTTAAGTCTGAATAAATTCATGTAGAATCCCAGGGCCTGTTTCTAATTGTATCTTCTTCCTGCCCAGTCCTGGTGTCCAATTAACTGAGCTATTACACCCTAAGTGGGAAGGTCTGCCTGATCACTTGATCAATGTAATTGGCTGCAATGGTGGTTACATAATCGAGAGCCGGTCCTGCCAGCTCCCCATCATTACTAAAGAACAGAAGCTGTCTTTGACAGCTCAGTCACTGGGCTTGGAGTGCGCAGTGAGCACGTTCTCAGCACAGAAACCTCTACCACCCATGGATGCATATGTGCCACGTGCGGGCGTTCAAGCTTGTCTTCTTTGGCATTCTACATATCCGTTACATGGACAGCAATATGCCAAAGAAAACATGTGCTATGCCCAATTTAAACAAAGAAACAGCTTAGCTTTAAAGTAATACTAAGGGTTTAAATTTAAGAAAAAATAACAAACATGTCTATACTTACCTGCTGTGTGCAGTGATTTTACACAGAGCAGCCCGGATCCTCCTCTTCTCAGGTTCCCTGCTGGCGCTCCTGGCCTCTTCCTCCTGTCAGGTGCCCCCACAGCAAACAGCTTGCTATGGGGGCACCCGAGCATGCACATTCCTCAGCCGCTGCTCCGTGTGTCCATTCACACATGGAGCCAAGCCTCGGCCCTGCTGTCTCAGCCAATGAGGAGAGGGAGTCTTGTGATAGCCAAGACTCCAGTGCACATTGGTAGATCGAGAAGGGGCTTAGATGAGTATTAGGGGGGCTGAGGGGGATGCTACACAGAGAAGGTTTTTTACCTTCATGCGTAGAATGCATGAAGGTAAAAAACCTTGAGCCTTTACAACCACTTTAAAGCTGGACACTACATTGATATAAAATACATTAGTTAAAACAGTTCTGTATTTATTAGATGTATTTTTCAAATGCAAGCAGTGTATATACCTGAATATGACTTTGTATCAGCATCTTTTAGTCCCATGTACAGCAGAGCTTGGACTGGAAGAGTTGCGCTGCAATGTTCTAAATGTTCTCATTGCTAAAAAAAAAGAGGTGCTGATAGGATGGATTTTCTTAAATTAGTTAACTAAAATGCAAAGCAGAAAATTTAGTAAAACGGGTGCAAACAGAATCTGGCACAACTGTGCACAGTAACCAATCAGCTTCAAGGTTGTATTGCTAAAACTTAAGTGCACAGCAGTAAGAAGCTGATTGGTTACTATGCACAGCTGCACCAGATTCTGTGTGCACCAGTTTTACTAAATATCCCCCAAAGTGTTCTCTGAATAGCACCCGCGCCAAGTGGGCAACCTTCTGTGTTCACAATGCAGCAGCGCAGGCGCTGAGCTAAGGGGATCACTGTATTAGCAGTGCCTACTATTGAAATGTCCAGCTTCTAGGGTGATTCCACAAAGATAGAACATACATATCTACATTTACCTATGTAAAAATTGCCATACTTAAACTTCATATTTAAAGTGTTACTAAACCCTAGACCCTGCATTCACTCTATCTCCCCAGACCCTGCATTCACTCCTGGTCTCCCCAGACCCTGCATTCACTATATCTGGTCTCCCAGGACCCTGCATTCACTATATCTGGTCTCTCCAGACCCTGCATTCACTATATCTAGTCTCCCCGAACCCTGCATTCACTATATCTGGTCTGCCCGGACCCTGCATTCACTATATCTGGTCTCCCAGGACCCTGCATTCACTATATCTGGTCTCCCAGGACCCTGCATTCACTATATCTGGTCTCCCCGGACCCTGCATTCACTATATCTGGTCTCCCCGGACCCTGCATTCACTATATCTGGTCTCCCAGGACCCTGCATTCACTATATCTGGTCTCCCAGGACCCTGCATTCACTATATCTGATCTCCCAGGACCCTGCATTCACTATATCTGGTCTCCCGGACCCTGCATTCACTATATCTGGTCTCCCACGACCCTGCATTCACTATATCTGCTCTCCCACAGTACACACAAAATGTAAATGCAATTATTTTAGTAAATATAAACTGCTAAATACCTTTTCTCATCCGCAGTTAGAGCAGTCTTGTGACTACAGCAGAGCACTGGTTAAAGCTTGTAGGAGGAGTTTTCTTTCTGCTCTAAGAGGATGCAAAACCCCTGACCCTCTGTTTGGACAGTGTTGATTGGCCCTGTGCTGATCACATGCACTCTCCCAAGAAAAGAAAAAAACCTCTCTAGCAATATGCACCAAACTGAGCATGTACATGTGACTACAGATTCAGTCTGTATCAGGTGGACATTTCAACAAGAAGAGGGGCAGAGAAGACAGGATCAAACAACCTTTTTACACAATGTGAAAGATTAACCCCTTAGGTTTCACAGTGAGTATAACAAGAATGCTTTACTGCATACTGTATATAGGCTGATTTCACTGTTGTGAGTTTAGTAACACTTTATGGATAGATAAGAGGGACAGCAACATCAGAATCAGGTCGTCTCCTTCAGCAAGAGAAGTGAGCCTCCCTAGCTTGGGAAGGGAGCAAGGTGACCTCACCCTTGAACGTGTGGAAAATATGAGAAACTAGTGAGTGAGTCATGTCACTATTCATAATCAAAACATCTTCAATGGAGACTTTAAGGCCTCATGCACACTGGGCATAAAAAAAGTCTCTTTTAATGAAGTTTGATTTTTTTTTTTACCTCTCAACTCTCGTCCATGTAATTTATGTGTCCATGCACACATAGGCATTTAAAGGCATTTAGAGACAGAAAAAACCCCATTACTTATATACATTCAGAAGAGGAGCGTTTGAATGGAGAAAACTCCAAACGCACAATCACACTAGCAGCGTTTAGGCACGTTTGCGTATTTGCCCATTAATGCATTCTAATGGCCAGAATGAATGAATATCCCAGCCAACAGAATGCATTACCGGTAAATGCACAAATGCGCATTAACGCACACTAAAAAAGAGGCTTTACATTCTTTTTTTTTTTTTAGCTGCGTTTTCGTCCCCTGGAGCATAGGCATTCAGGGGAGGAAAAAAACGTCCTATGTGCAAAAAAAAAAATCTGGTAGCCAGCCACAAAACCTTTCTTATTTTCCAAAGAACAGCACAGCACATTCACCTCTAAAAATTTCCATTGCTGTTATTTTACTAACAATGGTCCATTTACAAAGATGAGAACGAAAGACTCCATTCACTGGCTGCTATTTGAACATTATTTACAATCATTTAATCCACGTTGCGGAGGAATCGTAGATTCTCTTTCTGATTTGTATGGAAAGGTAATTTCAATTTTCCAGACTATTAGCTTTTCTTTTCTTCCTAACTGCCATATTTGTTATCATTCACAACAGAATGATGCTTTCAGCCTTTAGCACGGGGGAAAAAAAAGTTTGAAAAATAAAATAACTCTCTGCTGTTTTCTGCTACATCGTTTAACATTAACCAGCTATTTTAAGAGGAATGGAGTTTTACTTGTCAGCTCTTACATGAATATTTCAACAGAGCGCTTATGTGTGTTTTCTGAGTGTAACAATTTGATATCATTACCTGGTGTAATAATATTGTTAAACACCAGCAGAAAATTTACTCTTTTAAAAAAAAAAAAAATGTTTCAAGTCAAGAAGAAGTATATGTTTGATGTCTAAAAGTAGTTACCATCTTATTGGAAAATTCTGGAAGCCAGAAGTGTTCAATCATAGCACTCTGAATAGCTAAATATAAAATGTAGAAGATGTTAAGGCTTGTTGGGCAATTAGCCTAGTTTTGTAGAAGAGCTCCAACAGCTTAGGCGGCCATACAAGCAATAGTGTATTTAGGTTTTGTGCTGCCCTAAGCAACACAAAAATCATCCTCCTTCCACCTACACCCGACCCTGCACCCCCCACTCCCACCGAGTCTGACACTGACCAACACCACAGCCCCCCTGTCAAGAAAGAGTCTGACACCGACCAACACCACAGCCCCCCCTGCCGAGAGAGAGTCTGACACTGACCAACACCACAGCACCCCCTCCCGCTGGTCAAGAGTCTTCTGCTAATATGCGCCAAAAGCCACCCCCCCCAGCTGAGAGAGCCTTCCACTAAAACACACCAAACGCCGCTTCCTCCCAGCCGAGAGAGCTGCCCCCTGAAAAATGTCACCATAGAAATTTTCCTATAGGGTTTACCCATACGCTAACCCTATGGGTAGAACATGAGAAATCTTATCGATTCCTCTTTCCACACTAAACAGCATGGGTGGAGAAATCTTCTCTGCCAGTTTTTGCATTCAAGTGATTGTAAAGGCAAACATGTTTCATTTTTTTAAATTAGCAAACATGTTATACTTACCTGCCCTGTGCAATAGTTTTGCATAGAATAGGTCCGACCCTTCTCTTCTGGGGTCTCCTGCTGGTGCTCCTAGCTCCTCCCCCTGGCTTATTGGCCCCATCTCCTAGATTGTAAGCTCGAAAGAGCAGGGCCCTCGATCCCCTCATGTTTTGCATTGTATTGGTATTGTTCTGTCACATGTTCTGTCCCCCTTTGTAATGTACAGCGCTGAGCGAACTATTGGCGCTTTATAAATACTGTATAATAATAATAATAATAATAGCAAGCTACTTGCTATGGGGCACTCGTGCATGTTTTCTCCCAAGCCACGGTCTGTGTGTACATTGACACACAGAGCCTGGCTCAGCCCTGCCTGGCTCTGAGGAAGAGGTACAACCTCAAAACATGTCAACCACCAGCTATCTAGAGGTCTAAAGTCCCCCACCAGACCACCTTCAGGGGTTTTGGACCACATTGCATCTCTTGTGACATGCTTTCCATTTGATTTTATTTCTCTTGTGAGTATTTTACTATTTTTAAAGGTAATGCACTAGGCCCGTGCGTCCTCTTTTTGTCTCTTATATACTGTTCTCTTTGGATTTCCCTGGTCCGTTGAGGGCAGCAAGGCTTGCATTCCTTTCATACACGTGTGGGGATACTGTCATTGTGGAGTCCACTGTCCAGAGCAGGAGCACAGGCATTTGGTTGCTTTTTTCTTCTTTCCTGGCTCAGCCCTGCCCCCTGCTCCCCCCTCACTGGCTGTGATTGACAGCAGTGGGAGTCAATGGCCCCTATGAGGAGGGAGAGAGTCAGAAGAACAGCTGCTCCTGTGAACATTGCTGGATCAGGATAGGGCTCAGATAAGTATTAGGAGGTGCTGAGGGGGAGCTACACATAGAAGGTTTTTTTTACTAGAATGCATGAAGTTAAAAAAAAACTTTCAGCCTTTAGAACCCCTTTAAGGATGGACTGTCCCATGCTTGAGTTTGGTTGTTCTTACTCCCCATCCCCCATTGGTCTGCTCTCACACTGGGCTGTAAGCAAGTGTTCTTGGGCACACTTACATCATCACCTCTGCCAACTAGAATACAATGATCCCCACTTCTGTGCTCAGTCATCCATGGAGTGCTCTGTGCTCAAGCACAGTTTGCATTCACCTTGATGCAAACCTCTTCCAAGTGGTCCCAGGCATAGAACATTTAACCATCCTCAGGAACGGTTTGGAACACTCACACTGCACAAAGGACCAATGGAGTAAACCTTTCCCAGGCACAGTTAAAGCTACCAATGTGAGTGCTTCAATACCAGCTGCTGTCTGAATACCCAAACAGTGGCTACATTTAGTACATGCAGTCATTGTTCAGCTGACACATTTTCACCCAGTTTAACTGATTTTCCACTGAAGTTTGTTGAGCTGGGTGGTGCCATCAGAGCCACCCATGGCTGTGAATTCAGCAGGAATTGACCACAATTAAAGCCAGTGTAGCCAGTTTTAGGGCTCATGCACATGGACAAATACAGTTTGGAAGGAGCATATTTTTGTAGCTGAGAGTCACAGGTGCTTGCACATAGGCCAGCAGCCCATACAATTCAATTACAGGCTAACAGAGGCAGTGACTGTATGGATGTACCCACACATCCAAAGAGGCTGAGTGGCCTTGAGCGCAATCATTTTAGACTCCTGGGGTAAATATACTCCTTCCTTGCAGTGTACGGCCCTCTGTACCTGTGTACATGAGCCCATAAAGCAGCTTTTTTAACATGAAGGAACCATTTATATAACTTTCTGATTTCAGGGCACCCCTATTAATATTTTGTATATTTACAGCTCATGTTACTTTAGCATGAAGATTTCTCCATACATTTGTGGTCATTGGGAAGAATACAGACAGATAAAAAGATTACTGCTGTCGAAATAGTTGCTTAAATAGCAATGAGTGGCAGAAACTGCTCATTGCTTAAAGAACCCCTAGCAATCTCTCTGAAGAAACCTTAGGGTTACATGGAACCCTGGTTGAGAAAGACTGCCTCTTATATGTATAGCTATGGCTAGGGAAGGGTTAAACCCTTAGGGTTACATGGAACCCTGGTTGAGAAAGACTGCCCTAGAGTATATGTATAGCTATGGCTAGGGAAGGGCTAGGGAAAACCCTTAGGGTTACATGGAACCCTGGTTAAAAAAGACTGCACTAGAGTATATGTATAGCTATGGCTAGGGAAGGGCTAAACCCTTAGGGTTACATGGAACCCTGGTTGAGAAAGACTGCCCTAGAGTATATGTATAGCTATGGCTAGGGAAGGGTTAAACCCTTAGGGTTACATGGAACCCTGGTTGAGAAAGACTGCCCTAGAGTATATGTATAGCTATGGCTAGGGAAGGGTTAAACCCTTAGGGTTACATGGAACCCTGGTTGAGAAAGACTGCCCTAGAGTATATGTATAGCTATGGCTAGGGAATGGTTAAACCCTTAGGGTTACATGGAACCCTGGTTGAGAAAGACTGCCCTAGATTATATGTATAGCTATGGCTAGGGAAGAGTTAAACCCTTAGTGTTACATGGAACCCTGGTTGAGAAAGACGGCCCTAGAGTATATGTATAGCTAGCTATGGCTAGGGTTACATGGAACCCTGGTATAGAAAGACGGCCCTTATGTATAGCTATGGTAGGGAATGGTTAAACCATAGGGTTACATGGTATAACCCTGGTATAGAAAGACTGCCCTAGAGTATATGTATAGCTATGGCTAGGGAAGGGTTAAACCCTGAGGGTTACATGGAACCCTGGTTGAGAAAGACTGTCCTCGAGTATATGTATAGCTATGGCTAGGGAAGGGTTAAACCCCCATCAGTTTACTTTTTTGTTGTCCCTTCCATTGGGGAGGTTTTCCTTGGCTTCTTGTTCTCCAATGTAGTAGGACGTTAGCAAAAATTTCTCCAAAGTGTGAATAACCCTCTTTTAAGACAATTGTCATAGCA